CTTAAAACACTTATGTAGCTCTATAATAACAAGCTTAAACAAACACAAACTCAAGAGTTACAAAGAGGTAAGATTAGACATTACTTGAGGAAAATAGGAGTGACAATCTGGGCCTTTCCCATTGGCAGAAGAGAATTCCTGGAATATCCAGCCTTTCTTTCCCATTGTTAGAATATATAATATCAGTATTTATTTTAAAATATTATATTCATATTATAATTAATTATACACATTTAAACTAATTGGTTTTATACTTAAAAATATTCTATCCTCCTGAAATGATCATGTCAAAATCTGTCACAGAATTAACAACTTTTTAAACCAAAATTCATAAGCCCTAAAAAATTCAAACTTAAGTTATTAATAGTGGTTGATTTCTATAATTATATACTAAGTTTATTCATAAGTCGCTACTGATGTTACATCTACATTTCTCTCAACCTAAATATATTATCAATTGTTTTTTTCTTTATTTTTGATATTATAGAAATCCTTTTATTTGTATAAAAATATAAATAATATTCTAAATTAATGCGTAAAAATAACTATAAGTATAAATGAAATTTTTTTATAATTTCTTATTAAAAAATTAATATATATTAAAAAACTACCCAAATATAGTTTACATTAACTTTTAATTTACATTTAATTTTTAAAAATAAAAAATATCTTATACAAAAATAGAATTTATAAAAATTAAAAATATAAATTATTTTATTGAATGTACCCGTGCGATGGCACGGGTGCTGTCTAGTATTAATAATAATTCAACAAACCTCATCTGGTGGAGGTTTCTTCTTGGGGACCGTCTGGTTTGAAATGTTTTTGCTGACAAACTCAAGAACTCAAAATCATGCTTGAAATCCAGAAATTTGAAGGATGTTACTCAATTTCATTAGTTAAAAGAAAAAAACTCATTCGACCAAAGATAAATAAATCTATGACGTCTACTTTTTATAGAGCTAAAGACATAAATTAATATCTCATTTCTCATCATCTGCAAACAATTTCTTTAAAGATCATCTCTGAAAACCCACTCTGGTTCAAATCCTCTGTGTTTTTAATTTCCTGCTTAGCAGATCCATTTTGTTCATAGGCCCATGAATTAAGTAAAGCCCAAATTCCTAGATGCCCCACAGGCCACCAGCCACAGCCTTTATCAGATTCCTGGGTGTGAGTTGCTGTGTTGACTCTGTTTTTTGTTTTTTGTTTTTTTTTTTTATTATTTATTAATTATTTCTTAATTCAAGTAAAAATAACTTAATTTTTTAAATAAAATTACTAATTTGAATCTTATAAGAGCAGTGCTAAGGGCACTCTCCGGTCAACACTTCCTGTTTCATTGGGTCACGTAAGCTTGTTTTAAGCTTTGATGCACAACCTCTTTCGATCCAAAATAACGTAGCCCAATAAAAATGAAAGTGTTGGCCGGGGAGTGCAGAAAGCGAGTGCTATTGCTCATTTTATAAATAGAGAAATAGATATTTAAAAAGTTTTTTTCTTATATAGTTCAATATAACTCGATTTTAGATTAATTAAAATTTAGTGTATTTTTTGAGTTTTCAATAGTTTAATAAAAAAATGGTTGATTGAAAGTTAACCATTTTTTTTAAACAGTTTTATCATGGGGCAGATTCAAAACCCGTCTAAAAGAGGGGGATGTGTACTGTAGTCACTGGGCCACACCGGCCAAATGCGGTTGAAGGTTAACCATTTGAGTCCATTTTTAATTCAATTATTATTACAATCATCTAGTCGTACAAAGGGAACGAAAAGGGATTTCGATCTCAGTTAATGTTTCATTTGACCATATATTACCCATATTATATATTAAAGAAACCATGACTTCCCGAATCCCTGGCCATTAATTGGCAGTCTGGTCACTCCTCTCTCCATCCCGCGACGGAAGGAAATGCATGCACCGCGCTGCTGCAACCCCCAACGTTGACACTGATCGATGACTGAACCAGAAAAACAGTATTTTAATTTTCATCTAACAACACCACACCATGCCCCGTTGCGCCGTGCATCTTGCTGCAGCATCCCCCAGACCACGACAAAAAAAA